ATGCGGCGATTCTTCTGGAGGCAGAAGTAAAAGTGCGAGCTTTGCGCCAAAGTGACGTCACTAGAGAAAATCGGAGGATTGTCGCTGCGAGAGTTTCTTCAAAGGAGTGAACCAGCCCTTCTATTCTCTTTGGCCCTGGCCGTACTGGAAAAATAAAGATTTATCTAAGGATCATTTGAAGTTTTTATTCTGCATTCTGGAGAGTTTTCTAAATGATTCTTTTCAATGTTTTATTTTTCTTATTTAAATTCTGTTTATAAAATAAAAAAATATCAAAATATTTTGAAAAAAAGGAGGGAGGGGGTGAAAGCAACGTTGGTGTTGACTGATTTTGCGCCTTTTTCAAATAATGCACCCTGCGGCACCTGCCATGGGTGCCATACCCTAGATACGCCACTGTTCAACTCATTTTGAGGTTGTTCAAAATTCACTTCAAATCAACCAGGCTGATGAGGTGATTTTCAATCGGTTCTCTGCAATTACTTGGCGCAGCATAACCGATTCCGGCTCTTGCGCTATTAAATCGCGGAGAGGAGATATCGAGCAGGAGGAAGACTATGTAGAACCTGGAAGAGGTGAGTTCGTGCAAGTAAATGACTATTTGGAACCGTGAGGTGAGTTCATGCAAATGGAAGAGTATGAGGAACCAAGAAGCGGGGATTACACGTAGGTAGAAAACTATGAGAGTTGGTGTAAGTGGAATTATGTTTAATGTAGTTTTCAGTTCCATATAGTTGCCCAACTTAAAAGATTTTAATTTATTTGAAAATCAAGACAGAAGTTAATGTACTTCCTTCTTCTATGACTCTCCACACGCTACTGTTGAAGGCAAGCGAAGTTTTGCCATATGTAGAGAGTTCTGATCTACGCCACCTTAAACCCATTTCGATCGCCAATACATATATATATATGCAATGTTCTCCCTAAGCGTTTTAGTCCCGCAGTGGACTGATCGTTAAGACCCGGTTCCCAGCAGATCACCGAAGTCAAGCATCACTGGCTGCGGTCAGTGTCCTGGTGGGTGACCACTTGGATCAGTCTGCGTAGGGACCGAGGGTGTGCGGTATTGGTCCTCGTTAAACTGTTCTACCGTAAAGTACTCGACTTCGCGTGCAGGTCGTCGGGCTACCGAAGCGGAGGTGCCATCCCCTCTGCGATGGCATGTCTTCGGATCATCCTCAGGGATGTTTCCCAGACCGTCGCCAATAGCCCATTGTGAAGCTCTAGTGTGACGTAAATAAACAAAAATAAATCCTAAGCGTTTTAAGAAGGGCAACCCACCCTTTGATGCGCAATCTTTGCACTTTTTGTAAAAATAAACCGCGATTCTTTAAAAACACTGCCTTTTTATTCATATTCCAGTTTTTAAAAAAATTAATTCACTGTTTAAATAATAATTACACAGTGGTACAATTATCTGTGTTATAGGCATAATTCTGATTACTATTACAAATATTTATTTTGTTAGGATTATTCTTTACTGGTTTAATTTTTTTTGGGGGGGGGGTATTCTCTAATTTTTTCACTGATTTTAATTTAAATAAATACCTTTTTTAATATAAAAAGCACCTTTAAATGGTCATTTAGCAATGTGAATTAGATCTAGTTTTACTGACATTAGAAGCTCTTTTAATCTTAGATCCTTATTTTCATACAGATTAAATAGTTTGCGAGTAGATTTATATTTTTTTCTGTGAAATAGTTTAAGTAATATTCCTTAATTGTTATAATATTATAGAGTGTGTTAAAATATCAACAATCAAAAATAGAAAAACTACAAGCAATATTTTTATTGATACAGTTACATGTATGAAAATATCTCGAATAAAGCAAGTAAAAAAAATTTACAGATGCCTTCAGACACTTTCTGAAATTGAAACATACTATTTATTTTGTTTTAAATAAAATATAAAATCGATGTTTTTATAGATAAAAAAAGTAATTTTAAAACACTAACTATATTAAATGGCAATAATAAATAAGCAAGCTTAAATGAATATATATATAAGATTGTATGGATTTAATAAATATGTTAAGAAAGCTTTTTATTACTAATACAAGCTAATTCACTTTCTATCACATTAAAATCGTTTGGCATATAAAGAGTTATGTAACACTGAAATATAATATAAATTGTTGTAACTTATAAAAAAAACTCACGTAGAATTACTCCAATATAAAAAAATGCTTTAAAAACTTTTAAATAATAAATTATAAGAAAAGAAAAAGTGAAGAAACAGTTTCTAAGAAAGCATCTTTCAATAAATGTATTTTTTACTGATTAATAAAAATATCTAAGTTTAGCTTGAAAATAAATACACATAACAAAACACAAGATATAGTTCACAATCTGCATTAATAATACTAATATAAATAGAATGACATAAATAACAAGCACATTCAACTGACACAAAGGTTCATATACGACATTAATCCAATGTTTTCTCCAAACAAATTTTAACTTGCTAAAAGAGTTAAGTATAAACTTTAAAAGGATATAGTAGTTTAAAGTGTTAAAAAAATATTAACTGTAATTTTGAAATATTCAACTACGAATGATATAAAAACAAAAGATTGACAAGTTTATATAAACTATTTTAGCAAGCATAAATGATTATTTACATTTAGTTTTTGTGCACACTCCAAATACTTTGGTTTGTAAAGACATTTATTGCATTACATTAGGATTCATACTGTTTGATAATACATTTACAACCTCATAGAAGAGCATAAGGAAAATATTTATTCATAACAGCTTAGAAAATGTTTACTCAAGACACAGAAAAGGAACAATTATTTTTTCACTAACAGGAACAAGATTTTGTTTCGTTTCACCCAATGGAAGATCACATGATAAAGATATACGAGAATTTTTAATTAATTTCATTTAATGGGCAGGAAGGTTAGTATTGTTTTGCATTAACATTGTAGTCCCTTCTATATGGAAAGTCCATTACTTCAGGTAAATATTAACTTCATTTTAATCCAAATTAAGAAGTGGAAAAAAGTAAATGATGGATTTCCTTCAATAAGTACATTGGTGTAAAATTAAACATGTTGGCCTAAGAATTACTTCTAGAAAAGAATTTCAGCTGAGCCCACAAGCCCATTTCCCAAGACAATTATTCCCTCCCTCCAACTTTTTGAGTACAATCTTGCATACAATTCAAGGCCACTAGGTTTTTATTTTAAAAAATAAGAAAATGAAGCTGTACTAACCCCTATCTAGACGATTTCAATTATGAAAACTATCAAGTGAAGACAATGAAAACATATTATGAAGCTAAAATTTATTCAGTTTTACTTCCTACCGTTTTCTACCTAGCATTATGGTATTTACCAGTTGCAAAATTGCTAAGTTGTTATTTTATGAGTTTATTTTGATTGTGTTATATTTAGTCTGATAACAACAATCACAACATTTTTTGCATTAAATTGATAGATACTAGATAATACTTTAAGTTATAGTTAATGCTTTTTCAAAAAATTATAACTTTACATATAGTGATACTTAATTATTCAGATGCAGTTTTGATTAAGACTCCATTAATTATTATTTTAATATGCAGATTATGAGATAGTTTAGAGATACCCAGATGCCTGAACATCTTCAGACATTGTTATGAAATATATCAGTATGACCTCAAAACCAAGTGTTATTAACAAAGTAGATAAACATTAATGTAAGAAGCAAAAAAAAAAAAAATCTTCAGCAGCTTTTGAATTAAACTAGCACAAACATTAGCTTAGCAGAGACTACGAAACGTTTAGACAAATTTTAAGTAGGTTAAAAATATGCAATTAGGTTTTTCCTGCAGGTAATGATTTGATAGTTTGTTTATTAATAAACTCGTTTAGTTACATAAATTAGTTCTATTTTGAAAATATTCCTGTAATTTAAAGATAATACATATTGTGAAAGTCAGTGATTGTAAAAAACCAAACAAAATAGAACATAATAAAAATATATACAGTAGATAACTGTTTATACACTTTTTCACCTCAACAGTAGTGCAACATGTTATTACTCCTATACTATTACATTATACGGAAGATAATTTCCTTTTAACGCTTTACAAATTTGATTATCAAATAGCAAACACTCCAAAACTGCACTAAAATAATATGATTGTAAAATGCATGTTAGATACTATATTTGTTACTTTTCAAATGTTTTAAATATAAAGTAAAAATTTTTTTATTTTCGTTTTAATTTTTTTGCATACATACTTTTGCATTCATTATTTTTTCTGTACTATCTAATTGCTTTCTTAAAAACCACTGTAATTAACCAGGAAGATTAACTTAATTAATATACAGTACAATTTATTATTATTGAAATCTAAAAAAAAATTGGCTTAAAATGGGATTATTTAGTTGGAGGATACATGTTTATTAATTTATACTGACTTAATAACTTTTTATGTTTAAATTAAGAAAAAAAAACTATATGTCAGTCTTTAATATCCAATACATTAAAATTTTTTAATACAATTCAATTACAAGAAATGAAAGGAGAAAAACACTGTAGATAATATTATGCAAATTGTAATTCATTCAAGCAACAGCCAGCTGTTGGCAAAGGGGGTCAAAAACGTTATGGAAAAACAGAATTAGAAAGGCAATGAGATCAGCATTGAACACCAGTCACCTTTAAAATAACACATAATAAAATTAAATTGGTTTTTAAACTATAATTTATAACAGTAACAAATTTTTCTATTATAAAAAATTTAAAATTAAAGTGCCTAAATATATTATTCTCAGATTAAATTGCACTTAGTTATAAAGATTTAAAGTCTTGGCTCATCAACTGCCTTCAGTTGTGGAAATATTTCATTTTCATGATGGTCTTTTTAAAAGCATATAACCAGTCCTCTACTGTACTATGAATTAACATAGAGCCAAATATAATAAATGAATATATATAAATTTACATAATAGAAAATAAATATGAATAAACATAATTTACAAAATAATTTTTTGTAACTTCAAACTTATTTTTTAAAAAAGGCAAAAGGAATCTGAATAAACATTTTTTATTTAAATGGAAGACACAAATTGAGAATAGGCTTAAAATACCTATGAAAACAGAAAGCATAGATGACATTTCTACACTAAATGAATGAAGCATAAAAGTTTACCAAAGCATGTAATGGGCAACATGAGTACAAAATGTATAAAAGTGCACTAGTTGGTAATATTGCATAGTTGATATCATTAAATATAATAGTATTATAATAGACAAGACATTATTATACACCAGAGAACAAGTAAACACTTAATGACAGTGACAAAAATACATTAACACACTTTAATTCTATCACGCTATATGACATATTTAGTTAAAATTTATCACAAAGGGGAAACTAATGCTGTATAGATTTACACAAAGCCTTGGAGAGTTAAGTCTATTTGTAAAGCTTAACACAGAAATTTACTGCCATTTTTTTTAAAGTGGACAGAGATGAAATAAATCAAATCACTATTTTATAACATTAAAAATCTGTAGTATTTTAACAAGAGCTACAAAAAAGCATCAGAGATATCAGGGAGTATTATTTACTATAGTATTTTATCTGTTTTGAATGCTAATGTGTACAGCATAAACTGCAGTACTCTATTATTTGTTTTTTTACCGCACATTTAATAAATTGATATGACACGATAAATTTACATTAAAGTGGGGAACTTTTAAACGTCTATAAGTGACACTATCACTCTACAAATATTCTTAGATTGCACAGTTAGACTGATATGATTAGTATGTGTTAAGACATTACTATATATTATGATTAATGTGTGCAAAAATTCTGACATTAATAATATAAATACTAGTCACTACAAATTTTTTTCCAGTGAACTATTTATGTCCATTATCTCATGTAAAGGATGCTTGAACATTACCTTAAAAGAAAAAAAAATTAATCGCGAATATTTTTCTAAATACATATTTAACGAAGAAAAATATATTTTATTATTTTTTTATCACTAAGTGATATCTTAATTTTGATTACTATGAGTATGTTTATGTAATTTTTGTAGTTTTCAGTTATGTAATAATATATCATTGTGAGCTCAAACAACTTAAACTTTAAAAATTGATTTTAGAAAAAGAGCACTTTACTGAAACAAACATCAGTGTCACATAATAAAAAAAAGAAAACTAAATTTGCAGAAAATGATGCAGAATATTACTTTTTAGTTAGATTTAACACTTTAAAATAAAAAATACACTATAATAATAGTATTCTATAACAGTGACAACACAGTTTTCAAATAAATTTATACTAAGATCTACTTTACACAAATATATATATGTTTCAGAACAACAATAAAAAAAATATTTTAAACTTATGCTAGTATACAAATTAGCTAAAGCTGTTTTAAACCATAACAAATAAAAGAAACCCTGGATCCCAAAACAAAACAAATGGCACTGTTATTGCACTCTTTTCAAAGTAAACAATAAAATTATTTTTCTAACTCACATGAATCCATGTATTAGGTGGGATCAAATTATATACAACTGTATGTACAGGTTATTAAATACAAAATGAACATATTATTTTACAATGACAATAGGAATGTCCAGGTAAGATATTGAGTTAGAATTTTTTATTTTATTAAAGTAGAATTTTTTATTTTATTAAAGTATTTAATGAGGGTGTTGGAGACAAGAGTATGTAGTCAAATGCAAAGCAATTATTAATTCATTGGTAAATTAAGTAGAATTACAAACTACATTTAAACACACTAAGCTCCATCTAATTTGCTAAAAATTCAGTTTAAAGTGCCCTTTACTTTCCAAACTATCAAAAATAAAAGATACCAGCAAAAACAAAGTTTTATTAAACTGTAACAAAACCTGCACTAAAATATAATGTAAGGACTTTCTGATATAAGAGGTAATAATTCACATTGAAAAATATATTATAAAATTTAGATGCACAACAATTTTTAGAATAAATCTAAAATAAAACTATTTGAACGAAATGAAGCTAAGTGATGACACCCTTCATAACATAAAAATAATTTTCAATAAAAATATTATAGCATTGAATAGAATAGTTTCTCATTAATTTATTGTATAAAGAAATTAACTCAAGGAAGTGAAAAACACAAATTAAAAAATTAAGAAAATGCTTTCCTAATATTTATGTTTTAAATAGAAGTATAAATAAATAATTTACAATTAATAATTTTTAATTAGATAACTACAAACAGCTTTCAAGTAAGTAATTATTTCATCAATAATGTCAAAAGTTATAATAAAATAAAAACAAATGATTATAATAATTACAAACTTCAATAATAAGGGAAAGTATATCAGTGTTATGAAACAATAGATGAGTCTAAATGTAAAAGAATTTTCTCAAGAGTTTTTAGTCTACGAGCTAAACATGTCATAGAAAGAATTAAGACTTGGGATTTGGGTTCAATAGGCAAAATAGCTAGCATCCACCAAAACCATGAAGGGCCATCTGGATTGGTCAGATAATTTGATTCCATTCTTGGCATCGGACCAAAATGTTGCAAAATTTGATGCTTTGTATCTTGAGGTAAACGCATAAACCAACCTTGAGATATTTTGTATAAATGATCATGCAATTGCTTTAGATCTAAAGAAAAAGAATACATGATGAGAAAACAACATTTTTATAACATATAATACATTCAATACAAAGAAAGCATCCATGATACATTAGAATTGAATTCTCCTTTTACCTTAAACAAAGTTTTGTTTTTATATGAAACATCGAATATATAAGTTTCAGACCAGGAATTTATTCTTAAAATAAAAAAGGAATTAAAAGAAATTTAAAATGCAAATGCCTTTCATAGAAAGAAGGTAGGAATATTCTTAAGACCTTTAAAATGACCCCTTTAAATCAAACGTTAGATGAAAAAAGTGATTACACAAGCATGATTGTGTTTTTCAACACAGCTATTTCTAATAAATACTCTACGTCTTTTGTTTCATAAAATATGTTAATTAATTAATTTTTTAAACATATATACATACCCTGAATAAAAAATCCTGATAAAACATCATCTTTTATATATTCAACCGAACCAGTGTTGTAACCATCACGTTCCCCTTTACTTAATATGCGAAATCTTTTACTTCCAACAGTATCAACAACAGATCTTCCATCAGGAAAATATCGAACATCCTTAATTTCCAAAATTGTTCCATACTCAGCAATGCTAAAAAAGAAAACATAAAAATAAAACTAATTTTAATAGGAACAAATTACTTTTCACAAAATTATACCTTTTGTCTAATTGTAAAGCATTTTAAACAAAAAAATACAGTTGCACATCTTTATCAGGAGCATCATTAGGACAAATCATCTTGTCCCTTAAATAGAGATAGCTCATAAATCAAAGAGAATAAGAAAAGTAAAAAAAACCCATTTAATTCCATTAGAAATTCAAATTCCCAGGCTTTGTTCTACTTTTTTATGCAGTCTGCTTCATGTTGCTATCTACTGACTTTACTTTACCACAAATAGTTATAAAAATAATATGCCTTTACTTAAATTTGTTCAATCAACCATTGAGGCTCCAACTAGTAGAGTCTGATTGTTTTGTTTTTTCGTGTATTAACTTGTAGGAATGTCTTGTTTTTATTCATAGAGATATTTCATGTTCTTACGGGAGAAAAAAAAACAGTTGAAAACTACTATATCAATATTTTACGATTCAGTTCTTCTAAATATAAAAGTTTTTCTATGTTCTTGTAATTTAGAACCCATAAATTTTTATAAATATTTCTTCATTATCATTTAGCACATAACTAACTTGGGCTGTATTTATTCCAAAATTCTGTCTTAAATCACACAAATTAAGCTTTTCAATTTCTACTAGATTAATTATGTTAACTTTCCTTTTCAATATACATTTTTTCCTCTGTGAAACCAGAGTAATAATATGTAAAAGAATAAAACTACACTTCTCACACATTACAGCCTACGCAAGAACCTAACAGATAAAAATTTTTCCTACGCACTTAAATTTTTTTTTTTTGAATTAACAGCTTTTTGATTATCATTGGGTGGTTTGTCCATTAAAGTTTGATTTGACCAAATTGTTTCTAATTGACCATTGTTTCCAACAATACAATCAAGTCAGTTTCTGGGAGGTAAGAAATCTTCTCCCTCCTTCTACTAACAATTAATTTTTTCATTGAATGTGAAATTTCTCCTCATTGCACCATGGCAAGGTCTGAAGCAGCAATTATTAAGAGAAGGATAAATATATTAATAAAGAGTATTTAAACTTTGATTTTGTATTTCTTTATCTCCAATTTAATTTTGAAACTTTCTTCAGTTTCCTTTAAATAGTATACCTTATTTAAAGGTAAATATATTAAAGCTCCTATTCAAAGCATAGGTGTAGTATGAGGTGGGAGGACACTTTTCGTTTATAGAAAACTGTTTATTTTAAGTTTTATGTGTACATGCATATTTATGTTTTATATATATATAAATGTATCAATAAAACTTCCAACTTTATGAACAGTTTTTTGAAAACAAAAGGTGAGCTACCTCACCTTCACAAGGGCTTATGATTCAAAGGGACCTTAAATAGAAGATCATTTAAAATTGTCCCTTACATGATGTACAACTGTAGTTAAAAGTGAAATAGTTAAAATGTAAAAAATTGCTAAATATTAGCAGTTTGGATAACTTTTTCCTTAAAATAAGACAGGATTTTCTTTCAGTAAAGAATTATCCTAAAGTGATAGATCAAGTTATAGCTGAAATGTTAAAATTATGGAATGCTTATAATATAAAAATTTATATCAATCTAGATAGTCAAAGATAAATAATTATTTCACACAATAAAATTTTTGAACTTTTTCTTTTTAGTTCTAAAAGGGAGAATTTTTCGTGTATTTGATTGTCTGGCACAAGAAAATAATTGAAATGCAAAATAAAATTAAAACGAGATAATTACTTGTTATCAATATAAGCACACATTCCAAATTTGCGATTGCCAGATTCCATGCATTGCCTAATCATAAGTCTGTAACGTGGTTCAAAAATATGAAGAGGACAAGGTACAGTTGGAAAAGATGTGGTACACACGAAAAGAGGAATTTCGTGATTTGGATCCTTTCCAGCACTAAAAATAAAATGTGAATTTAGGAAGAGTTTAAAAAAATCAATTAAAGAGTCAATCAATACTTCTTAAGAAGGAAAATATATTAAAAAATATAAATGAACAGCTATACTTTTGATAAAGAATCAAATTTTCATGGTTTAATCTGTTTCTATACCTTTTTATCCCTCTTAAGTATGACCCCCTAATATAGCAATGCTCCATAATAACAATCAACACAAAAAGCCCCATCCAGTATGCCGTAGTCAGAAGTGGCGGATTTCAGGTAGCTAAACTACTGTAGTCAATAAATTTTTTTCACAGTTTGTTGCATGTGTTACTTTTTAAAAAAAGTAGAGAGCACAAAAAAATAGTTATTAGCTATTCCTGGTAACTACTTTTAATGTTAGTTTAGTAAAGACGCAAGGCTTAAAAATAACTAATTTTTCAAACCTCGATTAATACAATCTCTGCAGGTTCGTCAATGAATGCAATGAGAAAGTCCCAGGAGTGTGACTAAGCGTTAATAAGAATTATGTATTACGAATATTTAAACTAGCCATTACGAATAATAGCTAATTGATTACCTTCACATGTGAATGTACTCTCATGTAACATTGATGTTATTTCAATAGAAAGGAATATATTCTCTCTGTAATTTTCAAAGTATTTTATTTCTTAGTGGAATTAAAAGAGCATTAAAAACTTAACAAAATTAAAAATATCCTAGCATTTTCTAAATTAAATATTTGCTATTGAGAAAGTCATAAAAAGTTGAAGATTAAAAGAACAAATTCGTAAAAAATGCATTAAAATAACAAACTATGTCATGCAAACGCGAATAAATATTTCGTAATAATTCTTTATAAAATAAGCTAATTTTTTATTCAAAACCATTTTGAACATGGATGTAAATGAAGTTCTCCAAAGTTAGTCTCCCAAAAGTAGTGAAGCAATGACTACATCTTGAAAGTAATTTGTAGTTACTACATTTCAAAAAATGTAGCAGTAGATGTAGTTAAATACATTTCTAATACAATAATTGCTGTTAACTACAAAAATAATGTTTTCCGACAACTGACCATAGGTATGATATCAGTTTAATGCCCATTACAACGTCTGAATGGAACTGAACCGATCATTTGAATACAGCGATCAAAGCTTAGACATTTAATTTAATAAGGTTTCAAAAAAATTTTTCAATTATTTTTTCTTTTAATGTTACTAGACATTAAATAAGAAACTTCTCGAGATTTTTTTGAATAAAGGAAAAATGACATAATTCTCTTTATTTGATTTGTATCCTAGGTGTCATGGTCTATGTCAAAAAGCTAGTGAAATAAAGATGTCTTCACGTCGATAGTAAATAATTTTTTGTGAATAGTTGATGGTGTGGGTGGTTAATTTTAAAAGTTAAAACAAGTAATCTTTGTTGTTATCTAGACATTATAAATATGGACACTCAGAACCAATGTATTATTTTCAAAATATTTTCCTATATAATAAAATACTTTGAAAGTATTTTCAAGCATGTATTAACATGCAGAATAATAATAAGAGCTAATTATTATTGATTATTCTGCTAGTTTTAAAATTCTTATTGAAGTGAAGAATTGCTTGGTTAAAATTAGTTTTTTTTACCTATGAATAATTATTTAAAGTTTTTTTTTTTGCATTTATGGTATAACAACCACACATGTTATAACTTCCATTTTAATTCAAATGACAGAGGTTGTTATATCCAGCGTCAACTTTACCGTTATCAATTTAGGAGTGAAATAAAACCAGTTAAAGGTTACCTAGCGGAATTTGTTAATTTTTTTTTCATATTGGTGAACAAAGAAAACATATTACTCAGTCACATTTGCATAGCAATTTTAATACCAAGCAAAGTTTTTCCATTGAATGAAAACTATATATATGTAATGTTAGCTGTCATGTGAGCAAAACAAACAAGCACAGGATTTTAAAAAGAGCAAATTAATTTTATTTAATCATTATGTGATGATGGGAAAGAGAGAGAGAGTGACACAAACTCGTTGTGCTGCTCCATAAACGTTAGGGAAATTCTTGCAAAGAAAATCCGTACAATGTCTCGTTTTAGGTAATCAGTGAAATTTTAGTAATTGTTATTGGTTTATTAAATAGGTCGCGCGCTTCCTACAAAAAATAAAGAGAAAAATGTCTTACTTTTAATTAATGCATACTTGAACCAAAAATAGATTAAAAAATGCAAATTTAAAAGTGTGAGAAAGCGTTTCGCTTTGAATAATAAATTAAGAAAAGGATTTGTACAAAAGGAATAACATAAAAAGATTAATTGAAGCTTTTTATGTTACACACACACACACACACACACACATATATATACATATNTATATATATAAACAGCCAGGCTCTACGTAAGGTTAGTTAGGAGTTGTCAGATAAAAAGTAAAGCTTAATGGAAATCAAACAAAATTTAGAAAATTTAATAAGTTTGAAAATGATATCCATTATCAGCTGTTAGTAGGTTCCCTGTATATGACATAATAAGGCAATATCTTTATACATGTAATAATGAATTTGAGATAATCAGAGATTAGAATTATGTACTTAATCTATAGCCGCACTCTTAATCTATAGCCGCAATGTAACCTTTTTTTAATACACTAAAAATTGTGTTGTTTCTTAATTTGAAATATGTTTCAAGTAATTATGTTAGACAGAAATCATAAATTACAAATCTTACTTAGCAAGTTCTTCCATTTCTTCAATAAATAATGCTTTCCTTTGAAAATATTCAGTAGAGAATACATTTGCCATAACTAATTCAATCATTTCGTTCGTGCTTTGAACACGTTCAGCTAAGCACTGAAAAAAATGGTGATTCATTAAGGGGAAGAACAAGAAAAGTTGAATGAATGATCAAAGTTAATACAGGTTAAAACTTTTTCTTCAGAGAAAGTTTATAAAAAATTAATTCACAGCATTATTATTTCAGCATTCATAACCCCATGAAAGCCAAAAGCTAAAGTAAAAATACATTGACATAAAAAGTGCAATTAATATTGATAAAAATAAATTGCATAACATTAAAATATACATTATTAATATTAAAACAACCAAAACAATTACACTTTAGCCACTAACAATTTTTTAATTCTAATTTTTTGAATTTTTCTCATGTAAAAATCATATTTGAGCAAATTGCTTTTATAGAAATTTGACCCTTTTTTAATTCTGAAATTCTGGTGGGTAACTAATTGTTAATGTCAACCTTTCTTATTTCAACATGATAAATTTCATATGTATACATAAGTAGACACTGTGTTTTTTGAGCATGATGGAAATAATACTTTTACTTCTTAGAATAAAAAAAGAGAATTGTTAATGTCAACCTTTCTTATTTTAACATGATAGATTTCATATGTGTACATTAGTAGGCACTGTGATTGGTGCATGATGGAAATGATACTTTTATTTCTTAGAATAAAAAAAAGAGAATTCTGTAAAAACCTAAATGTGAAAAAATTTTAAAAATATTCCATTATGTGAAGCATGAAAAAAATTTATTCGTTAAAGGGATAGATTAAATGAGTCCTTAGAAGTTTTCCTCTAGTACTGATTTTTGATTGTAAGGTTCAGATTTTTTTTAAATAACTTAAATTAATAAATCTAATATATTTTTATTCTTAGTTATTACATTTTATACTTTATTGGTTTTTACCCAAGCATTATTTATTCAGAGTTGATATCTTTCTGCACTTTTTGGGAAAATTTCTAACATTTTATTGTATTATTCTTTGCTTTGTAATATTGATTTAAAGTTATTTTCCACAACATGTATAACACTGTTTAAAATATTTTGCAAAAAGCGCAGTAGTTGGCAGTCCTGTATATTCAAAATTGCGAAGGAATAAAAAATTTTTTACCGAATGAAAGCAGCTAATTTGAAGTTTAAAGTAAGGAAAAATGCTTTAAGATTTAATGTATTGCTAAACAAAATAATTTCCTTTGTTAGATAAAAATGCTATAAATTACTAAACTTATTTGTTTAAAACATATAAAAATAATTATTTTTAAGGTAGAAATTAAAGAAGACATCTATTTCACTACCGCAATGTTTTCCAACTATAGATGTCCTTTATAATATATGGTGAAGAGAAACTACTTGCACACTAGCAACTGTTACTACTTACACATAAAGAAAATAAATTTCTATTTTATCAGTTTTTTTGATTTAGGCAGAATTTTTTATCCCACGACAATTAAAATTTCCTAATATTTTTCCATACTTTTTAGCATGCACTTTATAGAATTCTTTAAAATACTTTAATTTTGCATGTTTTTTCAAAGTGTGAAGTTTTAATAAAAAGGTCTTGTTTTAGTGCACATAACAAGTTATGAACAGATATTTTTAAAAACAATAAGACCTCTAGGTTCATACATAAAAAGAGGAAAGAAAGAAAAATTGTGTACTGAATAAGTAGCTAAATTATAAAACTTTTTGGAAAAGTAATGCATGCTTGTAGCAAGCTTCATTTTTCGACCACCAAGTGATAGCTTATTGAGAGTATTAAAAATATATTTGCAAATTAAAATTTTTTGAAAAATTTATTAAAACAAATATTTGTTATGTACATTGAAAACTTGCAGGCTTTGATCATATAGTTTATGTTTTTAAAAAATGGAATTTAGATTTTTTTCAAAACAACTTTTCTTAAAACTTAGCACAAATGTTTGGTGAAATCAGAAAATTCCTGGTTACTAGATATTTTAGTGCAGGAACTCTGACTTACAAATGTTTTTCAAACTTGATCATTGTTTTGCTTCTTGATCATTGATTACTATCTTCATAGACAGTAACAGTTATCAAGTGAAATAAAATATACATAAAACATAATGCAGAAAAAGTGACCTCAAAATTTATAATGCTTTATATTTCAAATTAAAAAAAAAAAAATTAAACAGTTTTTAAAATTAACTAAGTCATAAAAAGCTATTAAGAAAATAGTAGTTTAGTTCTGAAAATTCTCAGATTTACAGAACAAAATTTAAAAAATATTTTAACCATGTTCAGTCAATTAATGTGATGTTTAAACAACAGACCGAAAATATATTTATAATACTTACAGTGGTGAGAGAAGTTTTACAGAGGGGACAAGTTGGTTGATGATCAAAACAGCGATATAAGCAAACTCTGCAAAATGTGTGGCCACAAGGAGTAGTAATTGGTTCCCACAAAAACCTTAACAAGAAAATAAATCTTAAGTAATACTATATAATAATATTAGTATCAATTCTTTAAAAAAGTTTCAGTTGAGTCTGAGAAAAAAACATATAGACTTAGCTTTGTAGACAACTTCTGATATATGATTCGAAAAAAATAGTTGTTCATTTAAATTGTAATTTTAGCTACATTAATATCTAGGTATAAAACACATTTTCATTTTTTAAATTTACTTATTTATACATTCTTTTTTTAACTGGCCATATTTAGCGATATGCTTGCACAACTTTTTTAGGGGGGAAAACATAAATTTATAGATATTTCGAATTAGAAGTTGAGTGAGTAGGGTTTTTTGTGTTACCAAAAAAAAAAAGATGCAATAATTTTGAAAAGTTACTTTTTTAAACTTTAATTTTTATAAACTTAAATCTTTTCACTTGTCTTCATTAAAAGTGTCTTAAAGTTCCTAAGTAACATATAATAGCTAGTTGTAAAAGTAGAGCAATAAAAGTACTAGAGTAAAATAACTTATTTTTCCTTTTGTAATCAAATAATATATTTTTATAAACAAATAAATGAATTTATATATAAAAAAGATTATTTTAATAATAAATTAGCTAAGGAGCTTAAAATGTATAAGATCGCAATAATTCTATACTTCATTGAACTCCATTACTGTTTTCAAAACGTGATATCCTGAAGATTATTTAAATAAATAAAATTAAAAAAACTTTGGAACCTACGCGTTCTTCTTTTTTTAATTTTTGCCCAGATAGTACTTTATAATCAAATATTGAATAAGGGAGACTATTAGCACAATATGAATAATAACAATGAGCCAAAAGGAAGTAAAATGCAGTGTTTTATTATGAATTAACATCAACTTTCAACAGAAAAGACAAATACTAAAATGTGTAAACCTTTATAACTATAATAGCCCACCCTTATAAAATATGTCTGGGCATGCTTATGATTTTGAAGCTGATCAACAAATGGCATTATTAACTCAGTCTGATGTCAAAGAAAAGAAAAAACATAGAAAAGATAACTACAATTGGAGCTCAGGAGTTCAAAATCCCACATTTCCAAGAGGGGAAAAAAAGGTAAACCCTAAGGGACTTCAAATAAATTAAGAATTATGTCAAGATCAATTCTTAAAATGAAACAATATAATATAGTAGTTTAAACATTTTGTACAATAAAGAAATGAAATAAAACTATAAACAAATTGTTTGGTAAATTAATTCGCATGGTTTTAATAACATAAATAACATGACAAGTCAAAGAAACCATAATACAACTAGAAAATATCTGATTAATAACCAAAAAATTTACTGCAACTTCAAATAGAGTAGCTTATTTCGGGCTAACATAGCAATAAGCAAACCATTTTATTTCAAATTTAAATTTGAGTAAATAGAATATAAGAAAATCTAATAAATATTTTTCAGTACCTCATGCACAATGGACATTCAAAATCCTGCTTGTCAATAAGAGATGCTCCAATTCTATTAATCACAAACTTTTCTCCTGAATAAATAGAAAATTCACTGTTAAAAACAATAAGTAGCAACAGGAGATGCAAGTTGGAGATTAGTAGCAGGTCTGAGCATACATAGCAAATTGTGAACACTCATCTTTGTCAATTAGTTCAGCCAAATGAGTAATCTTTTTATTGACTCGATGATTAGTTTACCTGAATGTATGTGTGTTTCCAGAAACAGTGTCATTTCTGTATCCCCTACATCAGGGATGGCGAACCAATGGCACGCGACACAATATTTTGGGCACTCCACCGATCACAATTGTTGTTACACTATGAATTGTTATTACACAAATGCTATTACGCTATGAAGCATATGTAACAATTAAATTAAAATTCACAAAAAACAAACAAAATAATAAACAATTATTAATAGAAAAATTAAAAATTAATGCTAAAAAACAATTATTAACAGTAAAAAACAAGCTAACAATAAATAAATAACAAAAAAAATCAACAGTCCTGCTTAAAATAACATCTTACAATCTAATATAAGTTATTGGTCATCTAATCTGCAACAACAGAAGTCACACTGATGTTACTTTAAGTTGAATTACTTGTATAACTGAGACATTGCAAAATGTATTTTTTTTTTCAATGTAAATAAAGAGTTTTGAGTTGATAGTATTTAGTATTATTCTTTTCCCAATAATCAGGAAGTCAAAATTATTTGACGGCACGTCTATGACCTCATTAAGCAATTTTTTAGAGAAAACGGCACGTTGGTGTATAAAGGTTAGCCACCCCTGCCCTACATGCTAAGAAGAATACAATATTTTAAAAAATGGAATTTTTAAATAGATACTACTTATTTTGTAGATTGTCTAGAACAAGTTACCTGGAAAATACACACAACATTTAGTTTCAAATATTTCAAACCAAGGTTGTAAAAAAATGTGCTTTTTACACGTCACCCACCATTATATTTATTGTTTTGAGCAACAATATTTTTTTCACAATCTATACTTATTTTTTTAAAAAAATATTTCTCAAAAATTTCAAATCAATTTTTATCCTAATACGCTTTTGTTTCGCACAAGACAAAAGGCCATGAATTTTTTGCCTTTATAAGCGATTCTGCCACTTTTAGACAGCTGACTACACATAACTTTCTTCATTCCCCTTTATGCCAAATATTCAGTATGTTGTGTGTTTGTTCAACTAGTTAAGATATGATTGCTGTTAATAATGATGAATGCTCTACATGATTTCATTTTATTCATGACCTAGCAGAAGACAGGCTGATATTTGAAAGATTTTTTAAATCCAATTATTTTCTTCTTCTAACAATTTACCTATTCCAGCAATTTATTTTATACACATAAATTATTTTGAGAAAAGTGGTTTAACTACGGAATAAAGTAGGTACTGTGTTGCTATTGCTTAAAAAGTAATTAAATAAATAAAGTCAAAAAAAATAATAAACAAGCAAAGGAAAATAAAGTCCGATCAAGTTTGTCCAATCAAGTTAACAATCTCAAAAACGCAATTCACATAATATATAAATTAAATTTAAAATATTTTAAACATGTTGTTCCATTCATTTGACTTTTTTTCATAAAGTTACACTTTTTCTGATAAACATAGTATTCTAGAACATGTACAGATTTGTAATAATAATTTTCCTGTTATACACTATTTTTTTTCAGAGAAAAAAGACTGGCTCACTATGCAAGTCAAGATGCAACTATAAGTGTGGAGAACAATCACAAAATAACAGAATTTTTTCGTATTATTATAATAAATTCATGCAGATTAGTAATAGTTTTATCAACACTAAAAATTTCACAAAATAACTTCCTATTGGAATTATTATCATTACCAGAATATTTTGTATCAATCAATTAAAGGGATAATTAAAACTTGTCTGGGTAAAATTTGCAATTAACTTTTCAATCAATTTATTACTTATATTTAATATGTCTCCACAACAAATTTAAGCTAATTCTGATTAAAGATTCTGACAGGTGATTTGGACCATTGAGTAATTTTTATGCACTAAGTAATAATTGTTGCAAAATTTAAATGCATTTATATTTTTAAATGTTTCTACCATTTTTTTTGTACTTATTTTTGTCAAAAAAGCTAACTTTTCTTGAGATCTATTGAATTGATAAAAAAAAAAATGTTTCATTGTCCCCTCCCTTTTTTAATTTTCTTCATTTGTGTTTAAAGACAATTTTTAAACTTTCATTTTCTAACCAAGCTTGACTCCAAATTCTATTCTCGAAGAGAAAAAGATTCAAACAATCTGAAAGTTATAGTCATTTTAAAATAGACTTGTTAGAAACAGTCAAACAAAAACAAAAAAAAAATTAAATAAATAAAATAAAAAATTACCACTAAGCTTTGTAATATCTTCACACAACTTTCTCATAAGAAGGACTAGATCTTGGTTTTCTTTTGGTTTATTCAGATGTTCACAGCTTATAACCTGCGAAAATATGTATCAAAATTATTGATGATGTAAGATGTCATATATTCATGGATAAACATGTGAAACAAGAGTTGAGATTTAAAATTATATTTTTTCTCTCTTTAAAAAAAAAGATGCTATTTTAAAAAGTTGTATAAGAGAATTTTAAATTAATTTCATGCAAAGAATTTTAAATAATTTCAGAAATTTTGACAATCATGCTTACTTTGCATTTAAACTAACTTCATTATAAGTTGCTTTTGAATAATTTTGAGCTTTCACTTATTTAATGATATTGATTATTATTACAATCAACTTATTACAGAATGGTTTATTATTCCTAATGTTTAAATTCTTGCAAATTTGAACGTTAGTAAAATAGTTTATTAGTAATAGAATCTATGATCTAATTATTTATGATAAAATTATTAGATAATCAGCAATAATCACCAATTTTCAAGATTTTAAGAGTACACATTAAGCATAATTAACAAATCTTAACATTATTAATTAACATTAAAAAGTCAATTTTTTACTATACCAGGGATGATTATTACACTTACTGAAAATTTTATGTGTAAAAACTTGATAAGATATAAATTTACATACTATTCATAGTTAATATAATTTTTTTTTAATAATTAAATTACTCATCAATAAAAATAACACACTTTTAAAGTAACTTACTTAAGAAAAAACTCAGTTCTGAAAGAACCTCGATACTGGATTTAAAAATTGCATGAATATTAATAATCACAATATTGGATTTTAAGAACACTAAAATACAAATCATATTATTGGGCTTTTGAATTGCGTAAATATGAATCGCGATACGCATGACTCTTTAGATTAAGTGAATAGGAATAGCTACATCTGATTTTAAACTCGCTTGAATATGAATCGCGGTGTAAGCTTTCTAAATTAGGTAAATACGAAAATCGATTTTAGATATTAAAATTGCGTGAACATGAATCTCACGATATTAGAGGATTCCGGCATAGTTTCAAAGATTTAAAAACTACGAAAATCCGACAAACCAAAAATTATAATTGCGGAAGAGTTGCATGTTTGAAAACATCTTGCTAACGCAATTCAGCGAATGTTTCAAAATTTAAATTCTAGATTGTAGAATTTAATTCTCACATTAAATTTTAAATTGCGGTGAAAATCTCATCGGATTACAAGTGATTCTTGGAAGTCCGCAAATCTGAAATAAGAATCAGATCAGAATCAAATCTGAAATTTTATATAATATATTTTATATTAATAGTGATTTCAAGGCTGAAAGCTAAAGATCTAAATTTAATTTCCTGCAGTTTTTTTTAACAATAATCAATACACACTTAAGGACAGAGAGAGAGAGAGAGAGAGCAAAAAGAGATTACTTATAAACTACACAATTTAAAACAGTATATTAAAAATTTTATAAAAATTTAAAAAGTTAGCATATTTAAAAATTTTCATCACATTTATAATAAATTTTGATTAAAAAATTAAATGATCTAACCTTTAAAGGGTCAAAAATATTTTCTAAATCCTTTGTCACTGAACTGCAATCACATTTCTTCATATATTTTGGATCTTTCAGCAAATGTTTATAGAAAAGCTATTAAAAGAAGTTTATTGTCAAACTTATGTACAAAATTCAAAGGAAAAGCCAATTAGAAATTTTAAATATAATATTTTTAAAAATGTCCATGACTGGGTAATACATTTTATGCAGAATTCTGCACTTTTGAAAGTTGTTTGACTAACCCTCAAGAACTTACGCAATTTCATTTTTCCAAATTTCTTTGTTTTTGCTTAAATTGTATGTTAGCTTTCATCCACGATAAGTATAATTAGTATCAAGTATTGATATATGTGCGATCTTAACAAAGAACCAAACTGAGTTTCTGATACCAATGATTCAGTGTTTACTTTTATGTAGGTATTTTTATAGTTTGTTGCCTATAGTATATTCATAATTTATATAGTTCATTCCAACATCAATACCACATACATATATTTTATCTCATAATGTCCTATTTATGATACAATGTATGCATGAAACTAAGATAATTTTTGCTCTCTAAATTGATGAAAAATAAAGCAATTAATAAGACATCAGAAAAAAAAAATTTTTTTGTATAGAAAAGGAACTGTGTGAAAAATTAATTTAAATAATATTTTTCTGAATCTTTTTTACCTTTAGGAAATAAAGTTGATTACTGTAAAATTCTAGAAATTATAAAGAACACAGATTATTTAGAGAAATAAATTTAAAAAAAAAAACTCTTTTGTATATTTTACATAGATAAACCTTTGACTGCTCTAAATTCCATCCGTAAAAAGACAGTCATTCTTTATAAAAACATCTCGATAATTAAAAATATGAATCTCTATTTGAGAAAAATTAAAAATTATATATGTTTTACCTAAATATTACCCAAAAAAATATTTATAATTGCGATAGGAATATCTAGACTAAATATCAATACAGATGACACAGAAAATCAGAAAAAAACATGGTTAAGTAAAAAAAAAAAAATCATTTACAGTTATATAAATCATGTAATGAAAATTGCTTAGATATTTAAGTATAATGATTTTTGTTACATAAGATTCTAACATATTTGTAAGAAAACAAACTGGAGTATAATCTACACACAAGTATTAGAACACAATCTACACACAAGTATTAGAAAGTACATACTGTAAGATAAGTGAGAACACGCTAAACATACCTCAATAGCTTTGTCTTTAGCTTTATTATCACTGGGATGAAAAACAGAGCAGATTAAAAGTAACTGTATAGCTTCAAGATATTTTTCTGAGTTGACTAGTAAGTTTCCTTCCCTTAAGCACTCCTATAAATAAAATTACAAACCATGTAAAACTAGTAATTGCTTAAAAAATAATTGGAAACAAAAATAAATTTTTTTAACTCTCTTAGTTATAATTTATTCCAAATCAGGGTCGGCATTTTGGGTATTTCCCAGAAGACTGGAAGAAGCTTGAAAAAACTCGACAAAATGGAAAAAACTAAAATGAACATTACAATACAACACAGTGGTTTAGCAATACGTATTATGAATACTGCTTAAATTCAAAGAAATTAAGATTAATATTATACCAGAAAGTTAAGTTTTTAAATCAACTCTTTTAATTTTATACAGAAATTTAAAATCTAGGTACATTACATAAGAGTCAGTTTGGACATGTATATTTAACAGTTTTTGAATATGAAAACTAATAGGCTATTTGAAATTGTGAATTCAAAATATGATTGATAATAAAATATATGTTTTGTAAATGGTTTGTTAATTTGATAGAATTGATAAAATTTTATTACAAGATTTTTAAAGTTCTTTAATTATAAAATAGGGTTTTACTATATTCTTAAGTGAAATAGGTTTTTACATAAGTAAAATATTGGAGGACTAAAATTATTTTAATTTCCTAAGAAATTTAGTTTTCTTTCCAATCTTTGTTTTTAAGTTTTTGTAAACATAAAAAATAATACACCGGAATAAATAGCTTGGAAATTAATACTGCTGTTTAAACTAAAGTAGGGAACCGATTATCCGGAATGAGCGGGACCATCGCTATTCCGGATAACTGATTTTTCCGGTTTTCTGAATCGTTACAAAAAGCCATTTTTTTATTGTTAAACCCAACTAAAAAAATCTTTAGAAATAATCTAAAAAAGAAGAAAAAACAAAGTAATTCACTAATGATTATTTCCAAAATGATGGTAAGGTAAACATCTTTCAAAAAAGAAAGAAAAATCCTAAAATCTTATGAGGGAAAAAAAAATGTTCCTAAAAAAAATGGAGGGAAAATTTATCGAATTTTGTTCCGCGTTTTTGGTTTTCCGATTTCCGGATAATGGGTTCTTTACTGTACATTGCAATTATAAAGGCTTGGAAGAAACCTATTTCTTCTAAGGTGGTTTTTACAACTGTAGAAGAAACTTGCCATTCCAAACCTTTAGTTGACTGCTTCCCAGCAACAAAAACTAGATTTTCCCATTGATGCTCAAAAAGTAAAGTAGTACTTTTCAGGGACAAAATTTTGCTCTGAGTCATAATTCTTAGAGGGTTAATATAAAAAATAATTTATGGAAAAAAAGGAGGTATAAAGTTGTCTTACTTTGAAAACAATGTTGCTTAAAAATGGTTTGGAGAAAAAAAAACAATGGGAGGAAATATTTCTTTGTTTAACTGCCAAAGAAAAATGTAAAAATAATAGTTAATTCATGTAATCAGTATCTCAGGTTTGGCCAAGGGTGACTCAGCCTTTCATCCCTTCAGTGGGTTGATAAAATGAGTACCAAGCATGCTTGGGAACTTAGCACTGAGGGCAACCGAAACATCTGCTCCTGCACAGTAGGAAATAATTATAGGCTTATTAGAAGGTACACAATGTGCCCCCCTAGGCATTGTTCAAATACCTTAGCCTTCTTTGGGCTATCATGCAACTGAGTTTAGTTTCATGTAATCAGTACTACACAATTAGAATTGTTTTTAACATTAGTTATAACTTAATCAATGTGTCCAAAAATAGACAAACACCATGGGAAATTTACTATGATGATTTTAATTTCTAGATGACCCATTTTTGAACTCATTGATTCAAATAAAAAATGGAGAAGAAACAGTCTTGTCTGTAGGCCATGTAATTTCTACAAAATTTGTTATATCTTGAAATGCTTATCTACAAGTACTAGTAGAGTGTAATTTTGATCCAACTATGTCTGCTCCCCCAGCCAGATGTGGTGTATATGATTTTCGTCTAAAACAGCTTGGGTCCAATTAGATTGAACTTTTCTTGATCCTGCCTTAGATCTAACATTAATGTATCTTATTTTTGAATAAGACAACATAAAAATTTTGTAAAAATATCGTTTTGTCTAAAACAGCTTGGTTTCAATTAGATTGAACTTTTTTTTATCCTGCATTAAATCTAACATTAATGTATCTTATTTTTGAATTAAACAACATAAAAATTTATTAAAAATATTATTTTGTTTCCAATAGTAACAAAATTTATGTACCTTTAAGGAAGGACTTTCAATAAAGCTGCAACAAGCATCAAAGTTCTGGAATGATTCCTCATTATTTGCATTGTTCTCATCTGTAGTAGACTGATCTAAAATTCAAAATGAATCTTTAAAATATTATAATTAACGACTTAGTCATAACTTAATAAATTAGTATAACAGCAAAAAATATTGTTAGCATGAGCAAGATTTTTTTTTTTTCAAAATTAGCTAGAACTATTTTCTAAATACTTTGTTAGAGTCAGTCCTACCTTTAATCTCAAATTTCATTGAGTGATTTTGATCAAAAATAAAAACAAGTTACCCACCGAATTTTTTTTTAAATTTTCACCTTTTTATTAAAACCAGGCATTTTTTTTTTTTAAAAAATCTAAATATAAGAACTACATGTTTTTAATTTTAAATATTTATTTTTGAAGGATCCTTTTCATCTTTCTTTTCATTTAACAAAATCGGATTTTTTTTAAAATTAATATATAAATTTATATTCTTTCTTTTAATTTTTTCAAAAAGTTTTAGAACAAATTACTTTTTGAAAAATACATAACTAAATTTTCTGTCAAAATCAGAGTTCTTTAAATATTTTTACTTTAAATAGCTATACAATAACTAAATATAAAATCCAAATTTCCCAACTAATTTTAGATATTTATTATTTTTGCAGGGTTGGCAGGTTTTTGACATGTGACAGTTTTTGACAGTTTAAACCGTCACGTCAAAAACTTCACTGTCAAAAATGTTGAAAATGTCAAAAACCTATATTCATATGTGAAATTTAATTAATACATAAAATTTATATATTTTTTATAAAGGATAGTGTTTCTAAATATGTTCTAGAAAAAATAAATTTAAAATTTTGAAGAAACACTTATATTTTGAATAGTAACCAAAATCTTGTACTTTTGAAAGCTCACATCTTTTGTAATATTATGTATTCATTTTCATGTGTTATTGAAAATCTGCAGTGATATTATTAAGAAATTTATTTATAACCAAATTTAGTGTATAGTATAGATTATACTAAAAATTAGACATTTTTAAAGATAAACATTAGCAGTTTTGTACATTAGACATCT